TTTTTTGAAAATTTATTTAAATATTTAGGGGTCGTTTGGTTACCGGGATAAGAATATTAATTCCGATATAAAGTTTGAGTTTCTAGGTATCATATTTTGCTTGTAGGTATTAGATAATCTCAGATATCTCAGAAATATAATCCTATGCGATATCCTGGAACTAAACTAAACGAACCCCTTAAAGCTATCCAATATTTTTTCTTTTACAAAACTTGTCCAAAAAGGTCATAAAAAAAGTTTTTCCGATTTTTTCCACAGAAAAACAGCTAAATGGGCCTGTATCCGAGAGTAAACTCCCTACTGGGCTGTAGGGCAAAATCCATGTTAGGATCAATTGAAAGAGACTCGAATCGGGCCACTCATATAAAAGCACCAAAGGATAGCTGATTCTTCGCAGTCTAGGGTTTTATTGCAGCAGCCGCGGCTTCTTTTCTCTTCCATCAGGTCTCAGGGTGCTTCCGTAGCTCGCCAATATGGTACTCTTTACTCTTAAGTCAGACGAGCATTACGTTTTTAGATATTCAGATATTTGCAACGATGTAATTGTTGAATGCAATTATTCGGATTTCTTCTTGTATTGTTTTAATTAACGGCAATGTAATCCTCAATTAGGTGAAATGTTTGGTTAAGTAGTTTTGTTGGTGTATCAGTGTGTGTACCAGTAACAGTGAAGTGCCAAGGTAGCTTAGTTGGAGGTTTTAAGCTTATTATATGAGCGTTTCTTTTGTGTTTGGTGTTCAACCATATAATAAAAGGGTGCTAAAGTTCTTCTATTGTATCACTCCATTAGCTGATTATTACATGCATAGCTAGGTCTAGAAAGATGTAATGGGTTAGAAGACTTATGATTTCCTCATAGTTAATGAGACACTTGTGATTTTGTAGACATGGCTAGCATTCTCTGGTTTTAAATTATATAATCTAGAACATACTATTATTGATTAAATATGTACATATCCACATAGATATACTGCATAACTGCAGTTTGAGCCTAAGGCAATGGGTTTGCGTGCATCCACTGTCGGCTACTTCTTCGCTGACTCATACTTAATGGTTGCCTGATTACGATCACTTATATGGGTGTCTAACTGTTTTGGATTGGTGATGTGCTGATTCTTTGGTGTAATCTCTTATTTTTTCTTGTTTGGCTGCTTGGAGATCAAACTTTTTCATTCTGCCTTTTATATTATCATTTTAGCTTGACATGCTTGTTAAACTGTACTTTTTTTCCTATGCAGACCAAGAGAACCAAGAAGGCTGGTATCGTTGGGAAGTATGGTGCGTGTCAAAAATGCTGCTATGATTTGTGTTACCTTTGTATTTTAATGGATAATTAGTAGTGTATTCTAGAAGATTTCATGCCTTAAGAGGAAAAAATGAATGAGATTTAGATTTGCATCTTAAAGTTATTTTTCTCGTAAAAAATTTGTGAGAATGTTTTTCTAAACGTTTAGTATCTGCTAGAAGAACAACAGTTATATTAAATGTAAGTGAAATGTAGTATCCATTACTTCATTGCTAGTCATGATTTTGTTTGTTATTTGTTACGGGACTGCTAGAGGTATCCCCTAAGAAGTTTTCCTCCCCCCCTCCTTTTAAGATAAGTCGAGTTGCATATTTATTTGTTGGTTTGTCTAATGAAATCCTTGAATAACCTCCTCTTTCTCTTATAGGTACCCGTTATGGTGCCAGTTTGAGGAAACAGATCAAGAAGATGGAGGTCAGTCAGCACAGCAAGTACTTCTATGAATTCTGCGGAAAGGTACAGTTCCCATGTATTTTTATATGAAAGTTAGCTATAGAGCACAAATTCATAATTACATCAATAATAATGTCACTATGCTCTTCTGTTCTAGTATGCGGTCAAGAGGAAAGCTGTTGGAATTTGGGGTTGCAAAGACTGCGGCAAAGTGAAAGCTGGCGGTGCTTATACATTGAAGTAATTATCATCTGGACTCTTTCTGTTCTCTTTCTTTTTCTGTGCGTGAAGTACTAATTTTTTTCTCCTTTCTTCCAGCACTGCTAGCGCTGTCACTGTAAGGAGCACTATTCGAAGGCTTAGGGAGCAGACAGAGAGTTAGAGTCATTTAGCTGCTTATTGAAATTTTAAGGAAGTGAAGTTGAATCTTGATTTTGCTATTAAAGAGCTGTAATTTGTACTGTGTTTGAAAATTTTGATTTATCCCAAGGATTGGAACAATTTTCCCAACGTGACATGTCCAGATCTTACTTCTATTTTAATCAAGCTGAAGTTGAAAAAGGGGGTTTCATGTTTCCTAGCTTTGCATGTGCTTATGTGGTGGGCACTAGGTGCAGTAGAAAGCTACACGATTGTTTGCTGATGTGCTCTTTCATTGTGATATAATTTGAACATAGTTTGTGCTGCCTTGTTTGGTATGTCTGAAAGAACCATTTTATCTGGAATTTACCCAACTAGGAAAAAGTTTTCTTTACAATAATTCTTCAGCTTTTACCTTCCTAAATGAAGTTGCTATCAGCTGAATATTTACAGTAGTTATTTGCACTATATTCAGTGTTCTATGTGGAGTTATCCAGAGTAGCACGAGAACATTAGTGATTGTTTTGCATTAGTTCGAAAAAATCTTTATTTTTCTTCCCGTAATTCTTAAATTTGACTAGGGATTTCTTCTTTTTTTCTTTCTTTCTGTGCAGTTCTGTTCATATGATAATAATCCTGATGTAATATTTACTGTTTCAAAAGGGTGTTTTGGCAGGATTATAACTCGTGTCATGATTAATGCATCCTGTTTAATAACTTGTCCTCTCGCTCCTGCACTTTAGTCCCAACTCTATGCTTTTGAAACAATTCTTCCAAATAGTTTCAAATATTTCTTCACCCCAACATATTTCCGGACCTACTTTTTAGAAATTATTATAAGTAATGTTCAACCAACTTGTGAATTTGTACGTGATGATTGATAAGTCCATTGGTTTCATGGCATTCTGAGAGAGTATTTTCACTTTCATTTGGCCTCATGAGAGTGAGTTGCGATATCAACCCTAACTGAGGGAGAAAGGAAAGAAGAGTGACAACGCACATACTAGTTAGGCAAAAAATACTCTTTTGCAAGATTTGAAAACGAGACCCCTTGATCTCTGGTGTTAATGTTAAACACTTCGTGTAACGTGATTAACGTTGTGCAAAAAATGAGACCACATATGCGTCAATTGATTTGTTTATTCGTAATATAAGGCTAAGTTTTCTGACTTTGCTTGTCAGTATTTTTTAAATGTTACTTGAAAAAATTTATAGTACTTCGTAACTGGATACTATTTTCCTGCCCAAAACTAAGTTAGTTGTAAGCGGGTCTAAATTTTTAATACAAAAATGCTTGAAAAAAGAAGAAAATCTTTAATTTAAGATATTGAAATCTAACGTATCAAATAAGTAGAGAGACTGCAAATATGAAAAATTATACTTATTCAGAAAATATAATTATTTTTAAATAAGATTGAGTTTCCATTCACGATGGAGAATATTCTATTAACATTTAATAAAAAAAATATTTTTACTTAAGAAAAAAGTTAATAAAGGGTGAAAATTTGTACAATATGGTTAATTACAAAAGAATCATTATTGCAACTTAGTGATTAAATGAATTATAGTATTTTTTTTCTATCAGTTGATAACTTAATTTTAATGGAACTTAACAATGTTTTAAAAAAAGCGAAATAGGCAAAAAAAGAAAAACGAAAAAGAAAAAAAAGAAGCGAAGAAGTAAACTAGAGAGTGAATGGAGCAAATAGGAAATTCGACCCGCCTAATGACCGTTATTTGTATAGTCCCCCTAAAAACGGAGGAATTGAGGAAGTGGTCATAAAATTGCTAAAACCCTACCTTTCTCTCACACCCATAGCGAGGAAAAGTAACCATCTCAAAATTTTAGCAAGGCTTTGAACTGTTCTAGGTACCTGTATAATCTTAATCCTCTTTTTTTTTTTTTTTGTTGGATTCTTATGGAATTTGTAGTGGATGAACTAATAATTACCTCTCCTTGATATCTTGTCACTAATCATTTACTCCTTTTTTTAAAATCTCAGTTTTATTTTCATTTCTTGCCCAGGAAAATTTTCTTTTTCTCCCACAGTTCACAATAAGTTACAGAAGTTCCATTGAGTGGTCTTCTTGGTCTGGACTCTGAATTTATTAAAAGATATGAACTGCTCTTAATAATTGTAAAACTTGGATCTTTAGGTACCTCATTGGATGATTATGGAATTTGCAGTGAAATGAATTAATAATAGTTAGCCGCCCTGACGTTTTGTCATTTGATCTCGTTCTTTTAAGTCAACTGGATGTTGATAAAACAGCCACGTCTAATCCATTTCCTAATGAATGACACGGAGATTTGTCAATCTACATTTTTGACTCTGATTCACGAGTTAGGAAGGTTTAAATCAGATGAGTTAGGAAGGTTTAAATCAGATGAGTTAGGATTGTCAACTCCCAGCATGTAGCTGGTTATTACAAATGAAGAATTCCTATCCACCCTCATAGCAGAGCTAACAAGCTCTCACTTTTGTACTTTTGCTATTATGCATCTACTTGATGCCATTGATAATACCACTTACTTCATAAAAAAGAATTCCTATCCACCTTCGCGTCCATTGAATAAATTCGGGTTCTTGTTTTCTTATAAAAATAAATTATTCTGTGTGGAATTCCTTTGCTAAATGTGCATGAAGCTGATCACTATAGTAGAATTCTATGGCGACTTTCAACAAAATTTCACAAGGTGATGTATTCTGTGAGTTGATTCAGGTTACTTTGAGCATGGTGTGGTGTGGTTATTGTGCAGAGAACAGGCAATCCAACAATGTGGATGGTAAAATGTGAGTCTTCGTCTCCTACAGTGTTGTTCTTTCTTCTTCTTTGTAATACTGTCATTCATTTCATTGTATATGTAAATAGTTCATTCATTCTAAGATGATTCATTTGTATATATATGTTTCGTCCTAAGATACTTCATTCTGTTACATTATAGATGCTGTTCCTTCTGTGGAAGAGTTCTTGATGAAGACAACTTTTCAAGTGAGCCCACTTTTGTTAAGAATGCTGCTGGACAGGTTAGTTCTTTGTTTCATATTCTTTATCGATGCATATGGGGTTGATATATCGTAGACACAGTTCGTTTTTGTCCCCTTCAGATTCAATCCTATCTAGTTTGGGAGGTGTGCTCAATCTGGCTTTATGCCATTGTTATTAATTGTTAAAAGGGATTTCTCAAGGTGCAGTGGGAGCAGCACTAAGAAAGTTAAGAAAATTTCATTTTAAAATATGAGGAACATGTGATTGCTGATAACCTATTTTTTTTTTATAAGTATGTCATTGCTAAAAACTTGCTGGGTTGTTATCGTCAGATGCCTAGCATATCTAAAGGTGTGACCTAGCGGTCAATAAGTGGGTCAAAACCATGGGAGACTAAGGTCCAAATCCCAACAAAGACAAACTACCTTAGATGATTTCTTCCCATCTGCCTAAGCCTTGGTGGCCAAAGTTATTCGGTACTTGTGCGGGTCGGAGGTAACATGCGCCCGGTGAAATAGTCGAGGTGCGTGCAAGTTGGGCTAGATACCATCATTATAAAAGCAAAATGTTATCGTCAAATACCTTAAAGATCAAATGATCTGAAAGTATGTCTAAGACTCTAGACATTAGACAATACAAGAAACCGATTTTCCTCACTCCTTATAATAAAAATAAAGAAATCTAGTTTCTTCACTGCCTTTATTACATACATCTGGCAAGTTTATATGTTTACTCAGCTGTTTAAATATGTTTACTTCTGTTGCTGAAAAGTTGTACCTCATCACGTGGTTGGTGGAACTTGAAGAAAATACACTTGATAGGAAACAGGATCGTGATGTGCGAAGGGAGGGACAGCCTTGTATAAAAGGCCAATCTCCTCATGAGGTTGGGTTTGAGTTACCAAGAGAGCAAAGTGGAAAAACAACTATTTGGTTTCTGGTAGGAAGATTTGTTATGGGGTTTAAATATCCAAAAAAAAAAAGAATAAGAAAAACTCTGATGTCTAAAACGCTTCAGTGGAGAGGAAAATGGACTCCCATCCCAAGCGCGTGTTCTGGGGGAAGGTGGAGAAGTTGGAAGAGGGAATAGAAGCTAGTTGTATAACGCCACGATGTCTGTATATTTTAGTGTGAAGAATGACCTCCTTGCATGTAATATTGATGTAGTTCCTTACTTTCATCAATTATTCCATTTTTTCTAATTCAAATATGCATACCCAATTGAGGAGATAAATAGTACTAAAATGAAAACAAGGAAAAGGAGCAGTTATATGTGGTGAATTGTAAACTACAGTTTTCAATTTGTATTCCATCAAGTCTAACTTAAACCATTTGCAGAGCCAATTGTCAGGAAACTTTGTGAGGACTGTCAAAAGTGATTATTCAGCTTCACGTGAAAGAACACTTAATGAAGGTATTCATGCACCTCTAATTCTTGTTTCCTCACACTGACTTTATACTAGTCTACCTATTTGTTTGATACTTTGATTTCTATCATTCCTTTTCCAGCTGAATGATTAACAAGTTCTTTGCTTCTATTAGGGAAATGAGAAAATTTTGTTCTCGATTTTCAACAGAAGTTATGTCTTTCTACACTACTGTTGCATTTGCTTTGCATCAAAGTTGGTCTACATAACTTATATCGTAAATGTTATATCCATGGTTTAGTTGGTATTTTTGTCTAATGTGAGATTTTGAATTTTAGTTTCTTGAAAAACGGGTGATTGTGCTGTTCATTGCCAATATAGGCACTCTGGTGTAACACTTTTTGGAAGTCTTGCAGTAGAGAAGCACTCTAATTTTGTCTCAAAATCAACTAACTGCACAGCTCAACAACTTTTCATCTATTTATCAGGTTAATGCTAAACAACCTTTCATCTACAAGATAAGTTCCAGGAAATGTACCTACCCAAACATTTATGTGGAGGATATAGTAATATTCCATGGTCAAAGGTCCTCGTTTCTGATCATCTTTAAGGTTCAAAGATGAGCCCCAAATAGTTTTGAAAGAATATGTGAATAGTTAGTGTTTTGTTCTTGTTGATTGGTGGCAACACTGTCCTGATATACTGATATTTCAAGAAAGAGGTTTTGTTAATGGGACCACTGCTACACTGCACTTAGAGTTGCTAATTTATGTAGCTATTCTAGCGATGCACTGACAAGGCTTGTTGTATAGATTAATCTGGTTAGTATGATTAGCGTAACACTATACTTAGAGGTGCACAAGTTATGTAGTTTTGCTGATACATTTATTTGTCCCCCCCTCTTCCTGCAGCATATAATGATATAGAGAGCATGGCTTATGCATTAGGAATTGATGGTGGTGATTCAATTGCTCGTCCAGCTTTGGCCTTCTATACGGTATGATTCGTTATGCTTAGATTATACCTCTACTAGCATGGTATATCATTCTATGGCTGAATCTGTAACTTCAGATAGCAGTTGAGAGGAATTTCACAAGGGGGCGTAGGAAAGAGCAAGTTGAGGCTGCGTGTCTTTACATTGCATGCAGGTGAGAGATTGTGTTTTATGATATTCTTTTTCAACATATCTTTTGTTCCCCAAGGGAAAAAAGAAGTGGGAAAATTGAGTTTTTTTTTTGTTTACAATAAATATCATTAATTGTTTGAATATAATTTATTACAAATAAAAATGATAATAAGTTAGAACTCCGCTGAAAGTTAAGTAACCTAGCCATTCATTTTGACAGTGGTTCAGATCTGCACATTGAAATACACTTTTGTCTTTTGAAGTATTGAGCTTTCTTGAGCTATAGAATCAGATGTCGTTCTCTTTAGTTTTTGTGTTTTTGTTCGAAATTGAGGTTTTGGACACTAAGAAAGAGTGTCGGACTTGCTTAATCAGTGGATAAAAAGAAAGGTGGAAGACAAAAAGGACGCCAAGTTATCATTATGTCTCCCAATTTACCTGCGCTTTAAGCTTGCGTAGTTACCCTTGTATAATTGAAAAAATAACATCTGCATACTAGAGAAAGTGAAATTATTTTTGCTTTATGATATTTGTTATATCTACTTTCCTTATCGTAGTATTGCCGCTTTAATATTTAGTTGTTTGGGGCAGTAAAATACTGTTAAATTTTGTAAGGCACCTGTCTGAATTTTTGAAAAATTGAAGGAACACAATTGGCTAATATCAGTTCTATGTTGTCTGCATACAATTATGTATTCTGTGTACTTAACCAAGAAAATTTATGCTCAAGTGTTGACCTGAATCCTGTGCTGATACTACCTAATTATTAATAGGGAAAATGACATTGTACCCACTCTCAAAATAATAGCCGAAAAATGTATGTTTTTTGTATATATACATCTGTATGTTATATACAAAAATTATACAAATTTTATACACTTTTTCGGCTACCGAATGTAAATAGTTTCTGGCGCGGGCTAAAAGTGTAAGAAGCCCTAATTAATACGGTGGCCAAGTAAAAGAACTGATACATTATAAAGCTTGACCTGGTTAATAGTGCATGAAACTATCAACTATATTATGCAGCATGGGAGGATGCCAAAGCAACAAAGCTGTCATTAGTACGTAGATAGAAAGAGTAACAAAGGATAGTATCATTTTGATTCAATCTTTTAATGTAATTTTTCTTGGCTCAAGCTACTTTACTAGTGACAAAGTGGGGTTTCTTTATGCTTATTCTTGCAGGGAGAACAAAAAGCCATTCCTACTCATTGACTTTTCTGAGTACTTGAGGATAAATGTGTACGTAAGCTTCATTTTCTTTTGATATCACACTTTGGATCAATAACCTTGAGCAAGAACTTAATGGTTGCCCTTTTGGCTAGCAATTCTTATTATCGTGTTCAGTATTATGATATTCTATTTACCCCTTAGCTCCTTCTTGTCTATATTGTGAACCAGATCTCATGTGTGAGTCATGTGCAGTCAGAGTAAATTACACAAATCTTGCTTCATGTTGAGCTAGACATTAAAGTAGTCTTACTTTCTCAAAATTGAAAAAGAAACTAAAGCAGCCTTATGTGAAGTATATTCAGTCTTGGGTTTTAGAAAGGTGAAGGAGCCTAATATCTTCTTTTTAGTGGGAAGAAAATATAGGACAGCAGTGGAATTGGCTTTTGAGGAAGTTACTGAGTTATATGCTTTACTACCCTACTAAGATCTACTCTTGATTAATCTTCAGTTTGACTGAAGAGAATATCTTCTTTGGTTATATTGGGCTTTTGTATTTGAGGACAGTTTTTCTTCTGCTGCAGTACCTCTTCTCTCTACTTCAACAAGTTTCCTTTACCTATCAGAAAAATCTAGGTGATCCTTTGCACATTAATGACTTCACAAATTGTTAATCTTTATTGGCCGATTTTGGAGGTTTTCTAGTAAATACCTTCTTACAAATCTAGAACAGTATCCTAAGTCCTATTGTCTTTTGGTCATACATGAAGGGCTATACCTAAAGTTGGACAATTGGGAAAACATTTACCTAATAACTATCTTTATTATGGTAATTGAAGCTTGTTCAACCCGTTTTCTTATTAAAATGCAGGTATATTTTAGGTGCTGTGTTCTTACAGCTTTGCAAACTTCTAAGCCTTGAAAATCACCCAATTGTTCAAAAACCTGTGGATCCTAGCCTTTTCATTCATCGATTCACTGATCGTAAGTATTTATCGAGATTTGATTTGCTGATTAGCTTTAGTCTTGCTTCTTTCCTGACCACCTTGTCCCAGGTACCAACTTTATGGCGGAGTTTGTATATATTTTTTCAATTTCCCCTTTGGTTTCTTGATACGTTTTCGGATTGAGAAGTTCAAGGATCTTGATTCATAAGGATTTTATTCTGCAAGCATGATATTGTTCCCCTCGTTATGAGCCTCTGGCAAGTTAATTCAATATGGATGCTTATTGGATGGATCCTGGTTGCATCTTTTTCTTCCTCTCATCTTTGAGCAACTTTGTAGCATCATTTATATACCAGAATCTCTTTTGATTAAATAGAAGAGCAAAAAGATTTTAGAGTAGCACTAATAGGTTCTAGATTGGTATAGCGAGGAGCGCTGAACGGAAAACGCATCACTAGTTAATATGTGGGCGAGAAATGCACTTTAAAGCAGCTGAGGTTTATCGTTTGGCCTTGGAAAGCCTTGCTGTTATTTCCGCAAACCATCACAGAAGCATCCAGGATGATGTCCTCTAGCACTTTGGTGGGGAAACCAGTTCTGTTCATGTCACCTTCTGCAAAAGTCAAAACCTCTTCTCTGTTAGATGACTCATTTGTTGCTGGCTCCTGCTGTAGACTGGAGCTATTTGTGTTGTGGTCTGGGCAGACTTCGCATCATTAATTCAAATCAAAGAATAAGTGCGGCTTGTTGGTAGACTCAGATCAAACCCATACTAATAAAGATTATAACCAGTGTTTTAAAAGGCGTTTTCGGGTGAGTCCTGGGGCGAGGTGCACTTTGAGGCACATTTTTGTAGTGAGGCGTAAGTCCCATAGACTTTTTCAAATTAAAACAAAATTTGTTGAATAAATCTTTCATATAATACCCAAATTCTCAAAAGTGAGCTTGTAATTACTCAAAAGTTTTAAGAATGTATTAAATTTAAAAGTCAAGACCTTTTTTTATTGATTGAAGCCCTAATTTATAGTCTTTCCCAATTCTTTATCTTGTCCGCTAGTCTGCTAATATCTCCCCAAAAGCAACGAATATTCAATTTTTTTTTACAAATACAAAGAGAACTCCATTCTCCTTCGTAGCAGCAAGTTCAAAGTTCAAATTGTAGGTTAGATCCTTTTTGTTCCTCCATGTAGAAAACTTTATTCTTTTCGACTCAAGTTACTTGTGCTTGTAAGTACCGTATAATAGATTGTTTTGACTAGTTTTTTTGTGGGGATGGAGCACTTCTATATATATATTTTTCACATATTTATAGTTTTCTTCAATTTTTATGCAATTTTACCTGTTTATAAATATTTACTGTAATTATATTATTTTAGAAAATATTAAAAATTAAATACCCATGGGGCTTATGCCCCGTGCCTCGGGGCTTACGCCTCGCTGAGGCATATGTAAAACGCCTCGCCTTACGCTCACGCCTTTTAAAACACCGATTATAACCATGAAGATATTCTGTTTTAGGCTTCTTAGATGTGTGTGGTTCATAAATGGTATGACCCTTATGGAAAATTAATGGGTTTTATGTCAGAGTTGGGAAGAGAAAATCGTACTGTTCTTAACTATTTGTTGTGAGATCAGTAGTGTCATAGGAGAATATACATATTCACAAGATAGAGGCCAATACCCCTTAATAATTAATAGTTAAACAATTAGGAGTTGTTTAATTTAGAAATAAGTTATGCAGAGATTTTAATGCAAAACTACTTTTATCGGGCATTTGATTCTTTGTACTAAAAATGGGATATACGGTAAAATTTAAAATATGAGTATATTTTTCAAACGTAATAAAATTGAAAGGGTGTTACGATAGGTTTGAGGAAATGATAAAAGGTAGTTTTCTTTTTTGGTGATTAATCCTTGTGTTAATTATCCATGTAGTGTATTCCATGTTATATTAGGTACAACATGATACCTCAATTGGTGTATCCTAGATTGGCTATGCAGGATTTAAAATATAAACCAAACACTGGATGACGTATATCAAAATTTATACCAAGATTATTTCATCTAATACATCAAATGAAATGAGTCCTTGGATTATCTCCCCAAGGTACACAAAAATAACAACGTTATCTCCAAATGGAAGAGAATAAAAAATTAAAATTATGAGAAATAGAGAACTAATGCCTGAAAACCTATGGCAAGTGAAGACATGAAGTTTGACTATGTATTTCCCTTAAGAAATGTTCGAATAAAGCTCATCCGCACGATGTTCCAAATCATAGTACGTGATCCTGCGGCTCGACTTTGAGTTACGGTGTTCTAATACTTCATATTTGAGATAGATAAGAAGACTTTTAAGGAATAAAGGAGTTAATTAAAGAATGCGAGTCGATTCTGCCAATTAGAAAATTTGCACATGATTAGCGTAAAAGATGATGCACGTTCTTGGGCGTTAGGCATTCTTGGGGTGTAGAGTCGAGCACTTGTACCGGGAGCTCGAGAGACAAGCACCTCCCACGTGTGCCTCAGGGCGTTTTCTTTCGCCTTGCTAGAGCGCAAGTCCTGGACGAGTCCCAGATTGCTGTTTAGAACTGATTGTGAGTTGGAAAGAACTCTGCAGTTAAATCCTTTGAAAATTGCTCAAAATCCTCGGTCTCCAGATTTACTTCAATGGACAGCTCCTAGTAAAATATTATGCTACATTTCTCTATCTTTTATAGGTGGTCAACGAAACTACACATAATGGAATTTAATATGGAGAACTAGAGTATGATATAAGGTTGCTTGTTTTACCTGGTTGGCAGCTTCTGAGGCTAGTTTAACACAAAATAACCCGCAAAAACGAGTTTATGTCATGTACAACATATGTTATATGTGCCAAAGGAGAAAGGAGACAACAGTCATTTATTCTTACACTGCTCTATAACTTCTAGCTTTGGACTAGGTTTTTGAACATTTTGGAGTAATATGGGCTCTGTCAAATGCTACAAGGGATATTCTCAACTGCTGATCAAGGAAGGGGCTGAACAAATATGTCAAGAGACTATGGAGACCATTCAGCTTGACTTTGATAGGTTTTGTGGAAAGAAACCAAAGATCTTAGGGAAAGGCTGAATCTTATTCTTAGACTTAATCGATATTTTTGCTAGCCTGTTGGCATAGGTTAGAATATGTAAATGATGTAGACACATTCGTAGATGTTTTCTGATCAGCTTACTCACTCTTAGATTCTATCAGTTGTTACAATTTAATGGAGGACTTGAATGTAGTTGGTTGCATAATTCTCAGCACCATCTTAGTGCTGTTTTTGCATCAATAAAATCTATTTCTTTTCTTATTTAGGAAAAAAGGAAGAAAGAAAAGGTTGGAGCTTTGACATGAGCTATAGCAAGATATCAAAAATAAGGACGAGCCAATCCTCATTTTATCTCTCTTTTTTATCTTTTATCTTTGATGTGGTATGTTGTTTTAATACGTAAAGTACATGTTAGCTCAATTTTTCCTCCACAATAGTGGGTGGTTCCTGGTTTTATTGGTATGTGCAGAAGACCTCACCTGTTCCATCCTGAAATTTATTTGTTGTACCTGCTGGGCACCTGTGCAATTACACCTTACTTACTATGTTGCCTTTAGCTCTACTATTTCCCTTTCCTTTCACTCTTTGTTTTTATTCTTTCAGCAATATAAGATTTCTGTTAGCTTGCCGCAGTTCACCAATTCACCAATGAAGACTATCAATCTATAATGTAGGTTTATTTGGGGGAAGGAAGCCAAATATTTCTAGAACCGCACTTCACATTGTGGCTAGCATGAAGCGAGATTGGATGCAGGTTGTATATCATTTCTCTGTGTGTACAATTTATGTGGTCGAAAGTTACTGGATTACTTTTGAGGAACTAGATTTTAGATTGTCCCACTTTAGTTGAGAGAATAGGATGTCTCCTCTATGATCTTGGGCAATCTTCACCTCATAAAAGTTAAGCTTTTAGGGTTGAGTTAGGTCCAATGTCCATTTTCTTGTCATGGTATCAGAGCCAGACACATCTTTATTGGTTTACCTAGTGTTGGGCCTACGCTGTCCATGCTCCAGTTAACTAGGTTTGGGTGTGCTGGGGAGGGGTTTAGATTGTCCCGCATTAGTTGAGACTTGATAGAGTGGGTTGTTGTCTCCTTATATGGTCCTACACTCCTAGGCAATCCTCACCCCACAGCTAGCATTTGGGGTTGAGTTGGACATAAGGTTCATTTTCTTATCAAAAATAAAAATTACCTGCATTTTTGCTCTAATCTATAAATGTTCTATAGACAGGGAGAAAGCCAAGTGGGGTATGTGGAGCTGCACTGTACATCTCTGCTCTTTCATACGGACTGAGTTGTTCTAAATCAGAAATTGTAAGTGGTCTTTCTAGATTTTCTTAATTTTGATGGAAATTTCAGATTTACTTATTAAAAAATTGGATTTCTTGCACTCAATGATGTGTCCAGTGGATTGAGAACCATGAGGTCTCGGGTTCAAACTCCAGATGAGGCAAAAACACTAGGTTTCGTCTATCCAAGCCACAGTACCTGTGTTGGTACACCTTGGAAGTAGTCGAGGTGTGCGCAAGCTGGCTCGGACCCGATGGTTATAAAAAAATTCAGATTTCTTTATAGACGGGCTCATGTTGTAATTTTTTTTTTTGCTTTGAGACACTCTTAATTGTTTTAGCTAGTTTTCAAGGATTACTTGTTCTTGGTCACGAAGTTTGGACTTTTTCTTTTCATTGGACTTAACAACTATTCTCGTTCTACTTTCTCGACTTATTTCATGTTCAAGCCTATATAGCACTAACACCGGCACTAGTTGCCGACTCCCAAATTTATTCTACAAGGAATATTTCCTTTTAAACTTTTTCTTTGTTCTTTTGGTCAACAGATCAAAGTCGTGCGCATTTGTGAAGCAACATTGACAAAGCGTTTGATTGAATTCGAAAACACAGAATCTGGAAGCTTAACGGTATGTACAATCAAGGCTGGTAGGATGAACATTGCTAATACTTTAATATTCACAGCTTGAAAAGCTTCATGTGCATGTATTTAGTCATGTGCGCAATTTTGGTGGGAGGGGGACCAGCTATTAAAGTGAAATCTTGAAAAGCAATATAGTATAGTGAGGTGCTTACTCCTGTAATGCTCAAATTTCGTTTTATCTTTCAGTTGGATATATTGTGAATACTGAAAAACATAATTAGGAAAAACAGGCATCTCAAGGAAGAACAAGCATAATGGAGCTTGGGTTCTTATCTTAAGTTGGTATGATAAGGTGCATAACGTAATTTGTTACCAAAGCTGAAACCAATATTGTAAATCTTGTGTAGTGCATATACAATCACGTACGGAGAGAAGCGTGCTGACATTATTGGGTGAGAGATAGACAATTTTGCCTCTACTAATGAATATTTATGTTTCTTAATGCTCTTCATAAAAACATCCTCCATTTACAAAGGAGAGCAAATAAAATCATCTAGTGCGCAGCTGTCATCAGATTTTGGTATGCCATGAAGCCACCCAATGCCTGCACTCTGGAGAAGATTTTAATTTCATATGCCTTTGGCTTCTTGCTTCTTTTCTCCTTTTCCTCTTCTTGTTCTACTAGTGGGGGTCTTAAAAGAACTCGCCTATGGGCTGGGCACCCCAGGCTTCGAGGCATTTTGATGCTCACGTCATGGAGAAATCATCATCAGTGATGTGCTACTCCTGGTGTATAACGTAATTTAGTATAGTGAGGTGCTTACTCCTGAAAAGCAATTTAGTATTAAAGTGAAATCTTGAAAAGCAATATAGTATAGTGAGGTGCTTACTCCTGTAATGCTCAAATTTCGTTTTATCTTTGGATATATTGTGAATACTGAAAAACATACTTAGGAAAAACAGGCATCTCAAGGAAGAACAAGCATAATGGAGCTTGGGTTCTTATCTTAAGTTGGTATGATAAGGTGCATAACGTAATTTGTTACCAAAGCTGAAACCAATATTGTAAATCTTGTGTAGTGCATATACAATCACGTACGGAGAGAAGCGTGCTGACATTATTGGGTGAGAGATAGACAATTTTGCCTCTACTAATGAATATTTATGTTTCTTAATGCTCTTCATAAAAACATCCTCCATTTACAAAGGAGAGCAAATAAAATCATCTAGTGCGCAGCTGTCATCAGATTTTGGTATGCCATGAAGCCACCCAATGCCTGCACTCTGGAGAAGATTTTAATTTCATATGCCTTTGGCTTCTTGCTTCTTTTCTCCTTTTCCTCTTGTTGTTCTACTAGTGGGGGTCTTAAAAGAACTCGCCTATGGGCTGGGCACCCCAGGCTTTGAGGCACACGTCATGGAGAAATCATCACCAGTGATGTGCTACTCCTGGTGTATAACGTAATTTAGTATAGTGAGGTGCTTACTCCTGAAAAGCAATTTAGTATTAAAGTGAAATCTTGAAAAGCAATTTAGTATAGTGAGAGGTGCTTACTCCTGTAATGCTCAAATTTCGTTTTATCTTTCAGTTGGATTATTGTGAATACTGAAAAACATAATTAGGAAAAACAGGCATCTCAAGGAACAAGCATAATGGAGTTTGGGTTCTTATCTTAAGTTGGTATGATAAGGTGTATAACGTAATTTGTTACCAAAGCTGAAACCAATATTGTAAATCTTGTGTAGTGCATATACAATCACGTACGGAGAGAAGCGTGCTGGCGTTATTGGGTGAGAGATTGACAATTTTGCCTCTACTAATGAATATTTATGTTTCTTAATGCTCTTCATAAAAACATCCTCCAATACAAAGGAGAGCAAATAAAATCATCTAGTGTGCAGCTGTCATCAGATTTTGGTGTGCCATGAAGCCACCCAATGCCTGCACTCTGGAGAAGATTTTAATTTCATATGCCTTTGGCTTCTTGCTTCTTTTCTCTTTTTCCTCCTCTTGTTCTACTAGTGGGGGTCTTAAAAGAACTCGCCTATGGGCTGGGCACCCCAGGCTTTGAGGCACACGTCATGGAGAAATCATCACCAGTGATGTGCTACTTTTTATGAGCCTGATGTGCTTGATGATGTATTTTATTTGCAGTTTAAACAGCTTTACCTGGGATCTAAAAAGTTTTAATTTCCTCCTTTTTTCTTGACACATTATAGTTGGAGTTTGATGCAAGTTGCCTCTGTTGTGATGGCGTGTTAGCCAAAAAATTCCTTTCTGAGTTTCATACTATTACTTGAATTACTTGCAACTAGATTGATGAGTTCAATACAAGAGCTGAGGAGCTTGAGAAAGAAGAGAGGCTGTCCGTGCAACTTTATTCGGGGTCGAAAGGATCTGGGATCACAGAAGTGCTATGTGAACACAAGAAAAGCGTTGAGCTTCCCTTTGCCCATGGTCTTTGTGAAAGTTGTTATACTGATGTAATTACTTGCTACCCTGACCTTTAAAACTTTAGTAGTACTGCCAAATCATATACAATACTCATGACTGTGTTTGCAGTTTGTAAAACTTTCAGGTGGGCTTGATGGAGGTTCTGAACCTCCAGCCTTCCAACGCGCTGAGAGGGAAAGATTAATGGCAAAAGAAGCTGCTGAAGAAAATGCTGAGGATCCAAATATTCCCATGTCCAATCAGGTGGAGAACAATGGTGGCGAGTATCTGGAGGTACTCATTGGAGCTGTTACTTATGCAAAGCATTATTACCTTGTAGTTGGGAAGTAGAATCTTATGCTTTCAAGAAAGCTTTTGACTGCTGCAGAAGACACAGCTCAGGTTGTAAAAAATTTCTGGATGGAAGAATAGATTTGAAAGAAAAGAATAGGCATCTATAAGAAAATAAATGGTAGGGAGAAGAGGATCTCTTCTTAGACACTAGATTTTCTTGGGATCAACTTCTAAATTATGGACGTGCTAAAAAGAGCTTAAAAGCACATCCTGCAGAAAGATAAAACTTGTGTGTTTCTTACAGCATCCTCCTAATAGTTTTCTAATCCATCCTTTCCACCTCTTAAGGGACAATGAAAGTTCATTCCCTGCCACTCACATGTATGGTGATGATCTACTTTTTGTTAAACAACATTTTATCTTCTTTATAATCATTGTTCATTTGAGTGATCTTTGACATAATACTCAAGAATGAAATGAGTTTCAATTAAAAAAAAAAAAAAGAACCAAGTAACCCGGAGATAAGCTGCTGCACATGAATGAGTGAACTGTATGATTATTGCATAAAAACCTGCAAGAGCTACTTTATAATTACTACTAATGTGGACGTTTGTGCTTTGGCGAAAGATCCTATCAATGGACTCATAATACTTTCCTTTGTTTCCGGATTTCTGAAGATACTAAGAATGTAATAGACTCCTAAACATCTCATTACCCAAATATAGAATCCAAATTCTTAGTTTTAGATGATATTTTGAAGAAGTATCCACCATTTCCTGCGATTACTGCCACTAGTACCAAATTCTTGAATTTAGTTGGTATTTACTGGAAATATGCCGGCATTTTCTTGCTTTCTGAATAGTCATTATTTATATTTTCTCTTTTTTCTTTTGGTTGATGATAAGGCTGAAAAGGGAGGGAACACCCTGAGTGTGAATGGAAGTAAATATTTGCAGATATCAGGGTCTGAGATAATAGGTAAATGTTTATTTTCTTCGAGAAATTTTGGAGAGACTTAGTCCTGAGTCCCGGATCAGGACTAGAGAATAATTCACTTTTCTCTCAATTGCAGGGGCACTATCAGGCGCTAAAACTGATGATAATGCGACTCCTGATACATTACATGGCTTGGATGGTATGGGTCCTGATGATCATGACGAATCAGAGAATTTTTCCGATATCGATGATGCAGAGGTGTGCTACTCCACTGGTTACTGATCCCTAAGTGCTTTCATAAAAAACCTATGCCAGTCTAGATGCAAATGCTGTGATTTTGTCTTTGTTTTGTTATTTAGTCGGATTTTCATCCTGCCAGACCTCATCGCGTGATACTTAGCAAATCAGTAGGATGCTACCTGACCCTGCTTTCATGCTTTGCTTAGAAAGCATCATTCAGTTGTATGGAAACTAACATGTAATAGATACTGGAAATTAAGTAATTGCACATTAAAGACTATTTTATAGCAGTTTGTTAGAGAACTATTCTACTTCAATGGAATGCGCTGCAACCTTTTCTATGAATTGCAGTTTACTTGGCATGGAATTAGTTGTACATTTATGGGCATGTATTTCCTGGTTCACTAACTTGTCATGGCTATTACGTTATACCTGCATTGCTGTCAGGTTGATGGTTATCTTCACAATGAGGAGGAGAGGCGTTTTAAGGAGATCATTTGGGTAAAGATGAACCGAGAATATCTTGAGGTAATTAATTTATTTTCTGTATGATTCACCATGTAAAATCGGCATGTAAATCGCAAGGTCTTAAACTGGTCTTAGGATTTATAAATACATTAAGAATATCTTGAGGTGGATTTTGGTGATTCGTTGGTCTATTCTACTAAATTGACTGCGGCTAAATGAAAAGTCCTTTGGTTTACTTTTATTCCCTTTTGGTCCATCTTTACAATGATCTTTCTTATCACATAACAAAGTAGTCTGCACTCACTTCCTTATCTGCCTCTCCCTTTCTTCTTATGAGTGAGCTTGCCGATCAATATTTATAGGAACAAGCAGCTAAGCAAGCGGCTGAATTAGCAGCAAAGAACGATAAGGAGTTCAATTTAGCTAACTGTTCGGAGGATGTGCAAGCTGCACAGGAGCTTGCTGCTGCTGCTGCTGCTGCTGTTGCAAAATCAAGAAAGGTAGTACTCTGAACTTATCTCGAGTTTGGTACCTGGTGAAAATTGATTCTCAGAGTTCCAAGTTGAGGAACTAAGAAACTATAGAGAAGGGCAACTTTGCTGATGTCGACGGTTATTAAGAATTTGATTAACATATGCAAACTCAGAAAATATTTGAAACACATCTTGCATTTTCTGCTATGTTTCTAAAAACTCAAGGCTTGGGTACAGTTATCTAAAGTTAGACAAAAGCATTCAGCTTCCTGGGACGGTCAGACTTTTGATTTTCCAATATTCTTGCATGAGAATAATGGATATTTCTAGTTTCTTAGTAAGTTCGTGAATGATAATTGCCAATTTCGTGTGTTTTGATCTTTTGTTAGTGATGCACATTTCTGTAATATAAAAGGAATGGCAAGAATGATCTGTGGTTGTGATATTTCTGAGTCTTTTAAATAAAAAAAAATATTTCATTTTTTAAATAAATAAAATCATATTTGAAAAAAGAAAGATATATCTCATTCAAATTTCACACTGAGCTTTTGATATATGCGTCCCAGTACTAATCCAAGGAAGGAGGATATTCAAAAAAATCAAACAAGGATTCCCACCATTTCACTCAAGGCAAGGAAATGCTAAATTTTCAATTTTTCTAGTTAGAATGGATTGGTTGTACCTATCCAATCAATAATTGTTTATGACTGACTCGCTATTCACTCGGTTTTTGGGTCATAATCATTATGTTCATTTATTGCACTAAGATGGCACTAAAAATTTACATTTCCATCTACAGGGTTGGCCTTCACAAATGTCTAGCCAAGTGTCTCTAACATCCTATTTACACCTAAAGCATAAAAAAAATATCAAAGGAACTCCTAGTCCTCCATAATAACTTTCCAATTCCTTCAAATAGTCATCTGTTCCTCTCTAAAAATCATCCAATATATACACAGTGGGGCAATCTTCCACACGCCTTTACTTCTCTTCCCAATACCGCTGCTCTTCCAACTCGTTAGGTCTTCTCTTATTAGATCTTATCAAATACCAATTCTACAATTGAAGGACACGTAAGTAAAACTACACAAGCCGGTCAAAGTAGGTGGGATCTGTGTCTTCCCCCGTCCACCCTGCTTAAACTTACAACACCAACTGACTACTATATGTTCTCTTTTAACTTGCCCCAAGAACAGCACATGCATGTGACCTATCAAAAAAATTAAGAATAGCACACCATGTGATATTTCTATACACGGTACTTGCTCTAGAAGCCTCCTGGAATTAGCTTACACTTTGCTTAATGCTATCATCTGCAGGAAAAACAACAGAAAAGGGCTGCAGAACTGAAAAATTCTGGTCCTGCTCAAACTGCTGCAGAAGCAACGAAGCAAATGTTAACTAGAAAGGTGCGTATGATAGAGGCAGAGGAAGTTACAATATTTGGCATTCTGTTTGCAGAAATCTCTGCATTCTGGAAGTTTCTTACCTTTTCCTTGAGTGTTCTCCAAAAACTATAATATCTTCGTTGTTATCTGAAACCATGCAAGTTTGTCACTCATTGTTGCTCTATGTTTAGCCTCTACAATATGGTTATATGCACCAGGACAAGTGAGAAAGAGGAGTTTTAGTGTTTGAGGAACATACCGTTTTGTTCGAACGATTCACAAAATATCCATATGTTTCTTGGTATCTTTTATTAATTTGTATGGATATGCAGTTTCAGATTGTAGTTTTTTACCTTAAATGTAATTTATCGGTGTAAATATAAGGAAAATCACACACCATACTAGAGATATGCAATGCTAACGAGAAGCACTCTTAAACACTTAGTGTTGGAATGAAATGAGCCTGCATAGAGCGAAATGATTACAGACGGTTCGTATAGCCGACCTCGACGTTTGGGATCATGTTATAGTTGACTGATTGAATCTTATCTTCCTCTACTCATTTTCTTGGTTGATCATTTCTTCTAGGCAATGCTTTGTCTCCTCCAACTGTAATGAAGAAAGTATCTGATTGAGATTCTGGAACTTCTTTTCGTCATCTCTTTCCATTGATTCTGAAATAGGAGGAAAGAATTATAGGGTGTACAAGCATGGTAGCATAGACAATGAGAAATATCTGATGCTGTGAGTCACAGGATTCTGCTTTCAGGTGATACGGTTACTGCAGCTTATATATGGTTAGGGAAGTTGGAAACTTTTTCTTCAAATGACCATTAACTTTCAAGATAAGATAGAAAATGCATCGAAAAAGATGGGTGAAAAGAAAGGTACTTACATAAGAATTAGCAATTCTAGACATACTAGGGATTTTCTTCCACATCGGTTCAATGCTTATGCATGGCTTGATCTTTTCTTCAAATGAACATTAACTTTCAAGATAAGGTAGAAAATGTATCGGAAAAAATGCGTCAAAAGAAAGGTACTTCCAGAAGAAACAGCGGTTCTAGACATACTAGGGATTTTGTTCACATTGGTTGTATGCTTGCATAGCTTGAGAGTTGTAGTTGTTGGGAAGGCAGGGTCAAGCATTTTGGGGATGCTTGCAAGTGAGTATCTTTTGGTATTTCTTGCGTTTGTAGTTGCTGTAATCACTCCATTTGCTATTACAAGTTTAGGCATCTTAATAAGGTATAAGTTTCCTGTACTTCAGCTTTGCTGATATCGCAGATTTGCAGCATGTTCCATTTTTTCTTGTTGTTGAGTGTTTGTTTTGCTCAATTTCATCACTTTTGTCACGTTTGGCCTAAATTTTGAAGATTTTTTAGAGATTGCATGTTCCTCTTTGTTATATGTTTTGTTGTTGAGTGTTTGTTTTGCTCAATTTCAACACTTCTGCCATGTTCCTCTTTGTTGTTGAGTGTTTGTTTTGCTCAATTTCAACACTTCTGCCATGTTCCTCTTTGTTGTTGAGTGTTTGTTTTGCTCAATTTCAACACTTCTGCCATGTTCCTCTTTGTTGTTGAGTGTTTGTTTTGCTCAATTTCAACACTTCTGCCATGTTCCTCTTTGTTATATGTTTGTATTGCATGGTATATCTTCCTTTTTGTATGAGACAATATTCGTCAGATTTATTGGTTGTTTTGTTTGCATCTTACGTTGCTTTATGTCATGTATGCAGAGGCTGAGCTCTAAGATCAACTATGATGTGCTAGAGAAGCTTTTTGATGAGTCTGTATGTGCTTCTCCTTCTCCAAAATTTCTTGAGAATTCCATTATACATTTTGTTACTTTTAATTTTTACTCAGATGTCAATTCCTTTGGCAGACCACTGTTTTCTTCATTCAAAGAATCTTCAGTTTTGACCTTATTTAAAAATAAACAGAATCTTTGGTGTTTGGGTTGGATGGAGATAGCTGGTGTTTGAGACACTATTATGCATAATATTGGATATTTAAGAAACAGTAACGAAAACTAAATTGTGCTGCATCAAAAATTTGTAGAAATCTCGCCCCAAGGCTTTGTTTTGGTGATAAGAGCGCAGCTTGTGGTGTGTGGGTTAGACGCGCGGGATCCAAATCCTACCGCAGGTAGAAGCCTGGTATTTAAGTGGAGAAGGTTAGAGGAGTAGGCCCACTATCGAACCTTGTGCCAGTAGCCTTTTGTAGATTTCTCGGTAATCAAATTCTGTTTATTTTTATTTTTGGGGTAGAATTCTCCGTCTTTTTTGTTTCTGCTGCTGCTCATTTCATGACTACTGGGGAGTTGCATGTGAGAAACTCTGCTGTTACACTCACAATTTTTGTATCCCGAGATATAGATTGTTCTGTTCTTCTTACGAAAGCTGAGTTGTAGTTTCCTGAGGAGAAAGGTATCATATATCTGTGGATCCGATCTTAGTTCATCTTCTGGATTTTCTTATTATTATTTACAAAAAGATGTGAAACCAACATATATGTCTATCGGCTTAAAAGCTGGAAGAGAAATAAGATACCTTAAAATCACTCCAATTCCTGGTAGGAAGCAGAACTAGATGAGAAATCCTGAAGCAGTCTGAACTTTTGTGGCGCGTGTGTTCATATAAAGGGCAAATTACACAAATGGTTTGTTGCTGTCGTCTCCATAAATATGTTTTAACTCATGCTCATGTTATTTATGCAGGCAAAACTTGAGAACACAAAGAAAAGTCGAAATGTGGATGATAACATGGTAAAGAGCAGCAAAATTGATCCGGAAGTAGATGACACTTACGAAGAAGCATTTGGCGAGGATGTGCAATATGATGAGGATGTTGGAGGATATGACTACGATCAACGCGATGATGATGATGAATATTGAATTAGTCTGCATTCCATAAGGCTGGTTTACCTATAGAAATGGAGGATATAAGCTATCAGATACCACATTTTTCTTCAATTGTATATTATGATAGCTAATTGCATTTCAAGCTATTTTGTTTTAGTTATCATTGATTATTTTATTTCCTGGGAACACTTCCCATCACTAGAATGTTTAAAGTGTGTGTCAGTTTTACTAATAGATCTACGCTCGACTAGCGGAAATAGATTGGAATTGTTTTTATATAATTTAAACAAGAAAATTAGGACCCTCTTTGTATACCTGAGGATCGGAATGCCCGGATATATTGTGAGTTTTTTACACAAAAACTCGTCCCTCAATTATGAGGATAAGTCTAATATGGTCCTTCAAATATACACTTTCAGTTATATAAAAAGTAGAACATTTTTGGTATTTGTTAACAGAAATTCTGTTAGTTAAACTAAAGGATTCTTCACGTCAAATACAGAACAGTCGATGCCTCTCAATTCCTATCTGTTGTTTTTGTATATGTTCCAAGTACTTGCTGTAAACCATAGTCATAGACATAATATCTGCAAACTGCGGTTTGTCAAAATATATAAAAACCACATAAACAAGATATTAAATTACTACCCTCTTGTTTAACTGCTCCAAGCTTTTCCTGCTAAGGTACTCTCTTCGCAACCTAATGTTCTTTCTATACCTGGATGTTATACTTATGATCGTGTTATTTATGTAGGCAATTCCCGAGAACCCAAAGAAAAGTTCAAATTCTGTATAATGATGAGGAAGTAGGAGAATATGACTATGATCAACACTAAGATTATTGAAATACAATGCATCCCTTCTGACTGATTCCTCCTTGCAAATATAAGTCGGATACCACAATATGCTCGGTGTCACAAGGGAAGAGTTTACTTTGGGAATTGATTCATAATTCACTTCCAACAATTCTACAAGTTGAAATCAATAATTTCTTACAATTCAACTGTAGGGACGTGTAGGATTGATTGCATACTAGTTCTGTAAATTAAATATTAAAAAAAAAAAAAGCAGGTTAAGCTTTTATGCTACGAAAAGATTAATAACAGCAACGAGAAGCTCCGTGGAAGACCATTAATCTGGTAGTCGCCATGGCTGACTTCAATTAAGATCAAGAAATCTCTCATCAAACTACAAAAAAAATGGCAATGATACAGAAAACTGCTAAAAACATAGCAGATATCCACAAATGAAATTAATATACAGTACAGGCAACACCGCCACAATTTAGCCTCTCATCCATCATCTTGGCATATATTGCAACTTTTCCAAAAAAAAAATAAAAATGTGATGAATCCATCACCACACTTATGTGATTCTACTGCAGACACCATGTACACAATACCAGACATTGGACTACGTAAAGGGACATCTCTCCTCTAGCCAATCTTGTGACAGCAATACGAGATTCTCATTGTACATTCTCAACGAAATACATGTCAGACAACAAACCTGATGCAGAGAGACCAGCAAAATGAAACTTAGCATAAAGTAAAACTGACACAGCCACTTCAAGATAGCATTCCCTAATATAAAAAACTAGAGCTGTTTCTCGCGGATAAAAAAAAATCTCCTAGCTTTCCTTCCCCGTTAATTTGGAAGAAACTATCCATCGGAACTCGATTGATACCCGCATACTGCACAAAATATATAAAACCATATGAACATAAAATACTATCAAATTCCTACCTCTTCTTTAACTGAGGCAACCTAGAAATCTTAACATGTCAGCACTTGAACTTGATGAAGTTTCAGCATGCTATTTCTTCCTTTGAGCAGCCTGTGATTAGTAAAACCGTATTCGTAAGAAACTTCCTAAAACTTACTTATATGAAGGGTAAAGAAGCACTGATTTTTTTTTGAAATATAGAGGCCCCAAGAGACGAGTAATTGTAAAAGAAGAGAGGAAAATGAAGCAATTTGTAATAGTAGCAGTAACAATTCAAGAAAAGACAGAGAAATAAGAAACTCTAATTAGGTTGTGTTGCAATCCATTCGCCTACCTGTAAGCCCTCCAAACATACTAGCAATGAGCATTCGAGCACATAATACATTCTTTATTACGAATATCCTATTGTTTTCAATTTCAAAACTTGATGGATAATAGGTCTTGACCCTCTACACACACTCCACGCTGTACTATCCTTGCCATTGAATCAACGCATGCCCTATGGGCGTCAAGCACATAATGCACAACATAATCAGGAAATTGTCACCTCACATAGTTGTTTTAATGTTACTAACTCCACGTGATAAACCCACACTGGAAGGACCAACAACAAGGACTCCATGTCACCTCACATAGTTGTTTTACGAACAGATGAATTGGATGGTCCACAAGAAGATGACCAACCCTAGTTTATAGGAGTGGAAGAAATGGACAGTCCCAATTCTGTCTCCAACTTTGACGTCAACAAACACACTAGTACCCAAGCATATAGATATTGATCATAATGAGGAGACACTGTTATTACCCAATACACATTAGTGGCGCTGGTAGCAGTCATCTAAATATCGCCTAGACAGCCAGTTTTGCTCCAACGAGACATCAAAACTTCCATCCGACTTGGTCCTATTCTCGAGCATAGCTTAAATCTTTCTGTAGATAGTAAGTTCCTCTTTGTTTTGGATACTTTAGATAATAAACAATAGTTCGCATATGGTGGTGCTAAACCTTAATTTGACCTATGATCATTTTACTTCAGCTTCTAACGGCAACTTTAGGATAAAGTAGAAAAGGGAATTCGGAGTAATATTTCGGTGATATTACCTCTTTCTTTTCAACAGTCGAACAAAACAATGATAGAAAATTTTCTATTTCAAATCATGTTAAATCTAATTCAAATTACTGGGTGCCCAAGGTGCCTCATCTTCTCTTTCGTCATTGCTCATTCCCGAACACTTCAGCCTTCCCTTCTTTGAACTCTCTCCCTACCGTGTGGTTGACTGAAGAAAGTCAGAAAAATAGTAAATGGACGGGTTATACCACCTAGTTGGATTAGCAAGCCGCTAGTTGACATATTAGAAAGATTAATAGATGTCATCGTCAAACTTTACAGCAGTCTAGTCTCTGTAGCAACTCCTAGGCCGTAGCAGAATCAGATTTTCCTAAAGTCTATGCAGCTACTGAACAGTTAAAATGAACATACTGAAAAACGGAGTGAAGGTAACTAGACATTTGCTAAGGTCTAGTAAACTAAGGTGCTAGTGAGACAAGGTTAATTCACTCTGAGATTGAGAGTCCCGTATGCTCTTATGTCGGAATAATCATTATAATACGATGAAAGCAACTCATTAACAAGAAAGTCCCTGCTCTCCTCTTAGCAATGACCTTTCTAGGGCTACTTTTAGAACTGCAGATTCTGTAATAAGACTATTCATGGGCATTCTCCGACTTAGAATCGAATTCATACCCGGCAATTTACGATCTACCCAACGCCTTATTTTATGTTGAATAGGCATAATAATACTTCCTCTATCACTTAGCAAAGTCGAGCCCTATCAGATTTCCTTAGCAGAAAACATTCATACATACTACTTATTTTCTAATAGAATTTAAGATACCTGAGTCAGAGAACTTTCCAAAGATTTTTTGCCACAGAACAAAGAACTACTCTTGCTGGAATCTTACTAGGAATAACTTCAAAAACTTTTTAACAGATTACCCAATCCAAGATGCATATTTAGAAGGATTTTCGACTTAAGGTAAAAATTCAGATAGAATATTCATATTTGCTAATTCATTATTTCAGAATACAGTATTCGGCATTGTACTAAAGAATATATCAGAATGTAGGATAACAGTTTAAAGCAGTTCATACCTTTCTCATTTTTTCTAATACTGAGTCTTCAAATTTCTGGTATCCAGCACCTACAAGATTACTCAAACTTGGGCCCTCAGGTTCTCTATCTTTCTCAGCGTTAAAAAATGAAGATGGCATTGTGGGTTGAACTGTTGGCTGAAGAGGCACAATTAAGAGAGGATTTGATAGATCCCCCAAGACATTTCCACAAACAGCTTTCTGACAAAGAGAAAAACCCATTAGTGAGGTGCTACTAACTAAAGAGATGAACAATTAATATCAATACTCAATTTCATAAAGTACTCACAGCTGCGTCCTTAGAAGACATGACAACAAGAGCGGAGCCTTTCTTCTTAGAACTCTTGATTACTACATCTTCAACCTCACCAAACTCACTAAATAACTCTCTCAGTCTTTGGGCAGTATAATCTTCACCAATCTTCTCCCAAGATACCTTAAGCACCTTTTCCTTGTCTACATTACTCCCCTTTCCTTCTGTACTCGCCTTAGCCCTTGCATGTGTCTCTTTCTGTGAAGGATCTGTAGCAGTAGGCATCTTGTTTAAATGCATAGCACGAATTCGAGCAATTTCCTCTTTAAGCTTTCTAGCAATTCGCTCCTCCTCTTGTCGAGCTGAAACACTGGCATCAGGTGCAAAAGCAGCACGTTCTCTTGCATCGAGATCTGACATCATCTTTCTACGCTTTGAATCTTGTTGTGATTGGCGTTGGATCTTCTCACGTTTCACACGAAGTAGATCATCAAATAACTTCCTAGCTTTCTCATCCTTCAGAACCTCGTATGAAGTCTTCAGCTTTTGAAAGTTCAAGTGAGCATTTGGGTCATCAGGCCTCTTGTCTGGATGCAACTCTAATGCCTTCTTCTTATAGGCTTTAGATATGTCTTTCTCAGAAAGTTTGGCTCCTTCCTCTCCAGAGGGTAAATCCAAAACAGCATAATGATCAACTTCGATATCCATTTTCTACCCGAATCTTGAACTGTGCAACAAATGCAAACCAACTGCATCAGAAAAATTATGATATTCAAATTACAAAATAAAAATAAAAACAACCCTAAACTTCTCAAGATAGCTTTTAACTAACTAAGGAGATACTGCTCCAATGACACATCAATAGATCAATAAAGGTACCAGCGACCAATTAAACAAGTTCTATTGGTGCAGATCCTGCCACGGATTCTACTCCCAAGTTTAATGGTATTATGATATGGCAAAACAAACATTTGGCTGGGAAAGGTTAAAGCGGTTGCACGGAATTCAATAACATAACTGAAAAACCATTAGAGAGCAGAATTATAAACTCAAAACCAGCTCTAGTCCAGAACTTCAATAAGCTTTTATAATTTATATTAGTAAAATTAAAGATTTTTTAACAGTAGGATTTTGATCAGGAAGATTGATGCAAAATTAGCCTCAAATTCAAGAATTGCCAATGTCATAGGTTGTAAGGCAATACTAAGCCGTTGATTTTAATTCTGTAAGTGAGGGCAGAGATAATAGTAATGGAAAAGGTCCAAATTTTCCCCAAAAGAAAAAGGGCAAATATAGACTAGCGCACAGCATGCTCAAAATAGTTTTCAAATAACAAAAGAAAAGGAAAAAAGAAGCACGAGCAATGGAGCAACCAGCAATTCTAAGAACTCACATCAAAAGGTTACATAAGGAATTAAGCAAATTGGGAATAGAACAATAAGATGTTGAAAAAGCAATTGGATAGTACAATTATATGATTTTCGCATTTAAAGATGGGAATTTAGCTATAAGAAAAACATACCAGTAGAAGTAGGAATTGGGAATAAATTTGGCTATATGGTGATACCCGAAGTGGTAGGGTTTGGGTAGGGATATGCCGGAGTTATGCTGTTGTGAGGTGAAAAGGGGCGACTTCTGTATTCTGTAGATATTTTAGAGACTGAAGCAGAGATACGGGTTGCCTTACCAATTTGGATCCGGATCTGGAGTCCGGACTAATCAAGGTACAAGCATTTAAGCATGTTATACAATACGTTTTTGGTTTTCTTGTTGGGTTATAAAGCAAGAGATTACGGTGTACTTACTTCGTAAAATTAGATGAATCAGTGTAATATCGACTATTGTATACTCGAGTTGCATTGTTAAAAACCGTTATGGCTTTAATTAATATATCTTTTGTTTTGATATCAATAAGCATTGTTATGTTTTATACTTGAGTTGCATTTCTTGACCTTTTATAATATTTCTCAGATTTGCTAATAACACTTCTACATGATCTATTTTTCATGTAATTTCTTAATATTAAAACTGCATTCTTCTGGAAATAATTAATCTTATTCCAAATATAATACTACTATCATAGAGTTTCCATGAGCAAGTTATAGTGGACAATGTACTTTAACCTTGAAATCGAATAGAAATTTCAAGAAAAAAACTGCTGGTCAAATATTCTATAGATCAAATTAACATTCAAAATTGCATTACATGATTTTTCCTCCCAAGTTGCAACTTTTTCAAATGTACAAAAAATTCCCAACCTCATAACCTCTTTTCCATGGTCTTACACTTAAGACTTCCCAAAACCACTCTTATTGAAAACTCCAACACTTCCAAATAACTGGCTTATCTTGAAATAATTATTGACTTCCGCCGTACCAGACACAAAAAAAAAACCCGATTAAGTTGCACCAAATTTGAATAAAAAGAAATACTACAACTATTGCACTACTATATATTTTTTTCTTATGCAGATTTTCTCTTTTTATAATATTTCCACTAATTCTCAAGAGTCATTAATACATATGAAAGGCCGGCTGGGTTGAAAATCTCTCTGGGCAGCAGCACTGAAAATGTTACAAAACTAGCTAATCTTTACAAAACAGAAGAAAAAGGTTGGCTCTCTTAGCAAGGTTTCAACCACAGAAATACAGGGAGCTTGAAGAGTGGCTTAACTTTTAGACACTGACAATGCGAAAATCCAGGCGAAGAGAACATAGCCTTGCTTCAATTCATGGAATGAAAACGTAAACACAAGGTAGAACTCATGGACACAAGGTGGTTAAGGTAAGATTATTCCTTGCAGTCCTCTGTGTAAAAGGATGCAAAAATTTTATGAGGTTAAACTGAAAAACACTCCATCATTTGGAGGTCTTATGCCATGGGGATCGGAAGGTCATCACTGTTACTCCTACGATGCATTTGCTTTTGCATGGCTTTTACTGCTGCCACTCTAGCTGCATTGGCTGCCCTGTTGGCAGCTGCAACTGCTCTGTTCACTCTTTCATCAACCTTGGCCACATCATAGGCCCTCTCTGCTGCTCGACGAGCCTCCTGATACATATAAATATATGTAAAAGCAATTAGCAGTTGGTTCAAATTCAAATGGCATTTTCCCACTAATCTAAAGAATTGAATCAAACTAGGTAAATACAATCTCACAGCAGATATTCTCCACTGAGAGATCTAATTCCAAAATTCTAACAATTTTAATGCACCTCAGAATTGAATAGTCAGTGAAGCCAATGTATATATACTGTAGGAGTCAACCAAGTACACTATTACATCCTACAGTATTAAGAGAATGAAAAACTGAAGATCCACAATTGAGGAAGGGAAGGAAATCAACTGCGAAAGCTTTCATGTTTTTTATTTTATTTTAAAATACTTACTAAGAACTTCTACCCAGAGAAAACAAATATCCATGTAAATAATTTCTTTTTGATAAGGTAAAAGTTAACAAATATCCATGTTAATTAGGATGCAGACTCCGTGCTTACTCTCTTTCTGACTGGCTAGATGCATGTCTGAAAATTTTAAAACAAATTTCCTTGATATTTACAAGTAGCAATAATGACTTTGCTTTTGTGTGTCCTAACACTTCAAAAGGTGAATATTATACTCGTAGAGAGGTCAAATTACTCACACTTACTCACAAAGGAAACAGATCTTGCTGATCCTAACACAACTCAATGATGTGCTAACTAAACTAACCAGGCCTCTCAGGCATCATAGAAGACATCCAACGAGGTTTATTAAAAATTTCAGAGAGCCTATAATTAGGCAGTCAATAAACCCATGAACCTACCACAGACCAAGTTATGATTTAATCTTTACCTGCACAGCATTTAGCACTTTGGAGTGGTAAACAGCAACAGGAGATACAGGATAGGAGGCATTCTGCGTGCTTGGAATGTCGAGAACCCCATTTTGCCAATGACCAGATTGGGTTTCTCCATTTCTAAAAGTATACATCCCAAGCCCTTGTCTCTTTCCCTCATGCCAAGCTCCTTCATAGCGGTGCCCATTTGCAAAACAATATACTCCAAAACCATGCATCTTATCAGCAAAATATTCTCCTGCATAAGTGTCTCCATTCCTAAACATTGGAAAGAAGTCAATCATTAGCAGCGAGAAAAGAATGAATTCTTTCTTACTTTCGTAAAATCATCTCATTACAGTACATGCAAGGGTGCCCAGTGCAGACACTACCATTCAAACTGAAAATCAATACAGCAAAATGAAGGGATATAGATAACAAGTGTAGGAAACCTAGCGGAGAAAAGAAGGAAAACCCCACAGTAAAACTATGTTATATGTGTGCATGTGTATGTTTTAAAGCCTACAACACGACTATGTGCAACATAGCTTTATATCCTGGAAAACAGCAATATTTCTCCAACAAAATGATACTTCAAAGCACCCTTACCATATGAGATACAGAAATAAGGAAGGTCAAATTTTTATAGCATTTACAATCATGAAAATCATAAAGAATTTTCAAAGCAGTTAAGACATCAAGTGACTTCATTCCTCCTTTTATCTTAAATCCAAATAAATGATTTTGGACCTGGTAACACTCTTTCTCAGTCTGTTACGTAGTATCTCACTATATGTCACTAAAACCATACAGGCAGTACACTGCGATCATCACATCAACAATTTTTTCTCTTACATTTTGAGATAAGCTAAAACTTAACATAGCACAAACACTGTTGATATCAGTTATATCTCTTCAGTTAAAATAAACTCCACATCATATTTAATGGAACTTTATCAATGTGCCTCTAGGTATTTTCAGCAGTCTCTAATTAGGCTCATAGTTAGTCAGAAGTTGCAATAGATAGTGAAAATATTAATATCTCATCTAGACATAGAGTCAAGGCATGAACCCTACCCTGTTTTGCTCTGCCACTTTAGCAAAGCCATGCATAATGCAGGCACACAATTACAAAAGGTAGTTTATCTTTTCAATTATTTTGCACATCTTCTGTTCAACATGAAAAAGATTACTTTATAGTCTTCACTTGGTTAGAAGATTGTCTTTCTTTAGTCATGGATTCGAGGAAAACTGGAAATATTGACAAGACTCTAGTCCGAAAAAATATTTTCTTCAGCACATGGTTCCATACATTAATAGTCAATTAAAGAAATTAATTTGAAAATGATAGAAGAATAAGCATTTCAAAACAGGAAAGGAGAATAGTGCTTGCTAAACTACACAAAGGAGAATAGTGCTTGCTTGACTACACAAAAGGAAGGCCTTTTTCGAGAAAGCCTAACTGGATAGAGATGACAAAATACAAAGGGGGACAAGGACAGCATATCCCCCAATCGGACAGAAGTCAACTAGTTGCTCACAAAATATAATCCACAAGTCTACAACCTAATGTAATCAACTAGAGCAAACTATATTTCGTTTTGTCTACTCTCCAGTAGATTGAGGACTAGCACCACCTTACTTCTCGTATTCCCCATTTCTCTACACTCCAGTAGATTGAGGAGAGTTATACACTATACAGTACATCTCGAGTTAAAAGTTTACGCTGCACAACACCGAGCCATATAGCAACAAGCTCAGCAACTCTTTCACTCCTCTCCCGCCTATATCAAGCATTTCAAGAAGGTAACTATTCGTCTTAAAGAAATAACATAATCTATGGTTAATACATATGGTATACCACATATAGACAACTAAAGATTTCGTAAAGCTTCTAAAGCTTAATTAGGTATAAACAAGAAAGATCAAATTTTCTGGTTACATGTCCCTTCAAAAGTCAACAAATTTAGAAAACGAACAAAAACATCTCCATGAAAAATTACCTGAAGTGGTAGTGGCCAAGGCCATGCTTGACTCCCCACTTGAATTCACCTACATACCGGCTACCATCCTCACATGTATGAATTCCACACCCATGACTTTGACCGTTGGACCACTCCCCAGCATACACGTCGCCTGTGTAAAACCTATATACCCCAAAACCATGCCTAAGGCCCTGCCTATACTGACCCCTATATCGACTTCCCCTCGCCCACGTCTCCACTCCATAGCCGTCATACTTCCCATCAACCCAATCACCTTCATACCTCCCACTCATGTAATAGTAATAAACTCCACTTCCACTACATTTCCCCTTATGGAACTCACCCTCATACACATCTCCATTACTGTAAGCCTGCACCCAACAACCTGAATTTACCCTTTTATCGATCTTAGGCCGCGATCCAATTGACCAAAACACTGGTAAATGCTGCCTAGATACTTGGTTAGTTGAAGTAAGCTTAATTGGCAAGGACCTAGCCAAGAACAACCTGATTGAAGGAAGCCTAGGCAGTGCTAAATTGAGTGAAAACAGTAAAGCAGCAGAGAAAGCAAAAGCAGATAGAAAATCCAAAAAGAAAGAGTTAGTTGGATGAGAAACCAAGAAATAGAAGAAAGGAAGGGAGAGGAGGAGTATTAGCCGGAGATGGAGGCGGAGTACACGGCGGAGGTGGCGGAGCCGTTGGTAAACATGGAAATGGTTCAGAATTCTTGATGGGTATTGACCCTTAGGAGCAGAAGAAAAAGGGTATTTGTGAAGAGAATCAGATAAAGTTGGAGACTTTAGAATAGAAGAGCTTGAGGAAGAAGAAGGGTTGTGGTGGTGGTGGTTTGTGGAAACACCCAAAAGGGGTCTCTTGTGAGGGGTGGTCTTGGTGGTGGTGGAGGTGGGGCTAGGGACAATTGGGTCATTTCCATTATCAATCAAGATTTGAAGGGGAGGAGNAAGGAGAAAGAAGGGGTGGTGTGGGATTGAAATCGGAAGAGATGCAACTGCTTTCTTTTCCGATCTGAACTTCAGATTTCTTCTGATGCATTACATACACATATAGAAATACATATCACACTACCAAAAAAACACAAAACAAGAACCTGGAAAATTGATAAAAATTCAATCTTTTTCTCTTTTCTCCTCAGCAAAGTCACAAAGATTCAATTTTTCTTTGTCAGTGATGATTCTTGGTTGGAACTGAAATTGGAAAATGAATTTTCCTTTCTGGGGTAGGTTGTTTAGCAGTTCTACCTCTATCTATCTAATTATATCTACAAAAGATGGACAAAATTATTGTTATTATTCCTATATATGGAATGTATGTGGGTGAGAAGTGAAAAACAGTTTTGTGTGTATGTGTGTGTGTGTGTTTTAGAGAAGAGAGCGGAGAGAGCAATGCGATGAGGAGTTTTTTGAGTTTTTTATGCTGAGGGTGGGGAGGTGGGTAGGGGTGAACTGAAGGGTAGGGCAGTTTGAAATCAGAGGCAACCAGCTTTCCCTTATAATAACAACAGCGTACAAGAACCGAAGCGCACGGAACTACCAAAGTTCAGTCTTGCTCTTTTTTTTTCCTCTTCATAATCTAAGAGCCCTTTTGACATAAGAATTTTTTCACTTTTTTCGAATTTTTTTTATTTTTTTTTAAATTATTATTTGGCCATAAAATTTTCAATTTTCACTTGAAAATAAATTTTAGAATTTTTTAAAAATTTGAAAAACTTCAAAAAGCTGTTTTTCAAAATTTTCACTCAGATCACTCACAAAAATTCAAAAACAACCCTAAAACTATATTCATGTCCAAACACAAGTGTAATTTTCAAATAACACTTTCACTTTTCTTTTTCGGAATTTTACAATTCTTATGCCCAAACGCCCACTAAGTTGTCCAAAAGTTTCATTTGAGGTAAAATGCTTCCTGATGACAAGGCGAATTCACACTAAGGATTCGAACTCATAACCTTTTATTAAAGATGTAAAAATATTTATAATTCCAGCATATCCTTCTAGATTTATCGATCCTTAATTCTGAGTGGAATTTAATCTTTTACACGGGTTTAATTCATATATCGATGCTAAATTTGAATGCACCTTGTCATATAGTTTGTACTATGTTAATATGATTATGTGACCTTGAAAGACATGTTTTATGTATATTGTCTAGCCATTTAACTTACATGTCACACAAATCGCTTCTTCTTACCAAAATAATTATTTATAAATAAATAATGACTCATGTTGGTTATAAATAAATAGCCTCCAATACTTAAATGTAAGTTCTATAAAGCGGTGGTTAGACCGACCATATTTGTATGGGGCTGAGTGTTGGCCCGTTAAAAACTCACATATCCAGAAGATGAAAGTAGCAAAAATGAGGATGTTGAGGTGGATATGCGGGCATACTAGGATAGATAAGATTAGGAATGATGTTATTCGGGAGAAGGTGCATGTGGCTCCCATTGATGACAAGATGCGGGAAGCGAGACTCAGATGGTTCGGACATGTTCAAAGGAGAAGCCCAAATGCTCCGGTACGGAGTTGTGAGCGGCTGGTTGTGGAGGGCACGAGAAGAGGTAGAGGGTGGCCTAAGAAGTATTGGGGAGAGGTGATCAGACAGGATATGGCGAGGCTCCAGATTTCCGAGGACATGACACTTGATAGGAAGATGTGGAGGTCGAGTATTAGAGTTGTAGGTTAGGATGTAGTTGAATCTTGACTTACTTCGTACCATTGTGGGACTAGCCAAGTAGGGTTTTTGTCTAAGATAGCTAGTGACAATGTTGTGTTTTACTACTTCGCTTTTTAGTGCATGTCCTATTTACTAGCTATCGCTTTTGCTTTGCATCTTTCTTCTACATTTCATGGTGTTCCTATTTTTCCTATGATTGTTGTGGTGATACTAATATTATCTCCTTTTGTCCTTTTGTCTTTTTGTTTTCTTGAACTAAGGGTCTTTCGGAAACAGCCTCTCTACTCCTTTGAGGTATGGGTAAGATCTGCGTACACACTACCCTCCCCAGACCCCATTAATGGAATTTTACTGGATTATTGTTATTGTTGTAAATAATGACTCATATTTTCATGCATGTCTGTATGTCAAGATATTCAGTTGAGCAACTTTCTAATTATTTTTTTCTACTTTCTGGTGATTATGGGGGGAAATGTAAGAACAGAAAAAGATTCATTTGTCATAGTGATAATATTATTTTCTTTTTATGTAATTCTAGAATCCATACTTATCATTTTTTGAATATCTTAGGCAGTAGTAAGTGGATAGGCTAGAAAGCTATTATGATGGATGCAAGTAACGAAGAAAATTAAAGAGAAACAGAAAAACACTTTACTAGATTCAATCATCACATTCCTTGGGCCTACGGTTTTTTAGAATATCCGCAACACATTCAGCACAATAATTTTATTCAGAGAAAAGGGCCAAATACTACATTCTACCTTCATTTATTATCTATATTTAACCTCTATTATATTATCAAATCAAATTTACCCCTATCATTATACTATCGGGCCAAATTTACCCCTACAATCAGCAAACTTTTAAAAATATCCATTGATCTGTTAAGTAATTCAAAATCTCTCAAATTCCTTTTATTTAAATCACTTGTTGTTCTTCTTGGTCCACTATTTTTAAAATAATTGGCATTTAAATTAGAGAGAGAAAAATATTAAATAATACAACTGAATAAACAAAGTATAGTAAATTAAAAAATCTATATTAGCTAGCTTTTCTAAATTCTAAAAGTATTTACAACATCCCAATTTTAATGAATTCGTTGCACCAAATGTATGGAGACTTTGCAAGTATTAGTGATTAGAGTTGAAGTTCCTAGGAGACTTTACATTGTCTAATTTTACTTTACTTTAATTAAATGCCTATACATTGTGCACTCTTAAGTTAGTCGATCGAACTCTATACTAACCATGCAATGACAAAATATATTTGAATATACATGTACATACATGATGATCAGTTGCATATAATACACAATAAATAGATCCACTAAATTTTACGGTGTGTATATGATTGAAAAATAAATAAAATTCTAAACCAATTTTATTTATTACAAGAAGAGAAATGGGTGCATTGGTAATTAAAAATAATTATGAATAATTTGTATAGTCTAGTAACTTTAACATTCACATCAATTGTAATTTTTGAAAATAATGGAGCAACAAGAACAACAAGTGATTTAAAAAAAAGAATTGGGAGATTTTGGATTACTTAATAGAACAAGGGATATTTTTAAAAGTTTACTGATAGTATAGATAAATTTGATCCGATAGTTTAACGGTAGGGGTAAATTTGATCCGATAATTTAACGGTAGGGATAAATTTAGTCTGATAGTATAACGAAGGTTAAATGTAGACAATATATGAAAGTATAAAGATATATTTGGTTCTATGTCTTTTTTATGTCATTGTAAGAAATTTCGGCAGAAGCAGCTAAGTAAAGCATGTGAATATATATGTCTTTTGGTTTCTTCTTATCATTTAAAAGTAAAAGGCGTTCTCATTTTTGTTCCTCTAAATTCGATGATACGTTGATACCTATCCAATTAAAATAAATTGCTCGTGATGATATTACTAACATACAAGGGATTTTTACATTGCAGGTCACTAATTAAGGATTATTTTAATACATAATATTACTTTTGATTTATTGCAAAGTGAGATAATCTTAGAAAAAATGTTAAAAGACAAACGAAATGAACCCAAAACAAACTCTTTGAAAAAGGGAAAAATATCTAGATGTAGAATTGAAAATTGAAAGGTAAACAACCTTACCTCGAAAAGAGAAAAAGAAAAACCTTTGTCGTGTATAATGTTGATGGTTACAAATCAAAGTGGTCCAAGACTCAATAGCATAGTAGAAAAAACTTATTCGAATGAATAAATTACATATGTCTTCTTTATATGTTAGTCATTTTGACCATAATTAATTAACATGTATTTCACTTTAATTTATACTTAATCATGATTTTGTTTAGACGCTAAACGTGAGTAAATTTTTATTTGTTTATTTTCGAATAGGTTTATTTACGTCTTTTTGGGTATATGTATGAGCTTCTTTAATTTTTTCCTTTTGCATTTTCTTGTCTTTTGGAAGAGGGGTTGGGTTGAATTAAATTTAAGCCTTAATGGTTACGTCAAGAATATTTCAATATCTTAATTGATGAGTGCTATTATTACTTGGGGATGAAGTTCTGCTCCTATTTAAACGTTGAGCAATTATATATTTTTTCTACATAGATATTTGACCCGAAGACAAGAAAATGAGTAGGTGGTGTATTGACTTATCCCAGTTTTTTAAAATATTTATCCGAATGGTTCATTAAAGAAAGTTTTGGAATATCATCTCAATAATTGGTCTGGCACAAATAATTTTTTCTTGCACTGGTTTTTCTTTTTTCTTTTTTGGGTTTGATATGAGGGGTTTTCAGTAGAAGAGAAGGAAATGCAAGAAATTTTTTTGGAACGGATGAATGCAAGATTTATTTTACGAACTTTTATCGTTTACCTAAGTTGAATATGTAGTTTATCTTCAATTTCTATCTCCCAAAGTTAAATGATTTTTTTGGAAAGAAAAAATTGGTACTATTTGATGCCTAACATTTAACAGAAGAACTTAATTAACTTATATATATGTGTAAGGAATTTTTGCACTATCATTTCACCGTTACATGTTGTACTTAATAATTTATCTTATTTTTCAAGATTACAACTTTTACTTTTTATGAAGTGTTATTTGTAAATACTTTTTGGCTGATCTAATTGTGTAAAATGCAACTTCACATTATTATCTTTGATGCAATGCTAAAATTCCACCAAAAAGCCTTTATATTCTTCTTTCCTTCCCCTAGTATATCATACCCACAAAATAAGTCAGAAATATATGATTATTTTCAATTATCTTCCTCTGCCAACATTTTTTATTTATTTAGTTTCATTTTTCTAGAATGACCGCAATTTGGATCTAAGTATATTCTTTGGATTTAAATACTCCAGCCCTTACAAAAGAAGATTGTAGGAAAGTGGAGATTATTTTTCTAAGGCTGATGTTATTGACTTCTATGAAAATAACTTTATGGTAAAGGGTTAAAAGCGCCTACATATAAGTTATAACTTATAAGTAGCATTTCTATTATGTTGAGTTACAAATAATAAAATGTGCAGTGATCAACAGAAGTGATGTACAGCAGTTTTAATATATCTGCAATACAATTGTCACCGGGGTGTAAATGAATATTTTAAAATCGACTAAATCGACCGTACCGTATTATACCGTACCAAATCGATTTTTAGGATTCTTTTAATAAAACTGTAGTTTTTAATTATATAAATACATAATTGTACTGATAATTAGGATATATTTTTTATTTTATGAAAATAAATCGAAAAAATACCGAACCATACCGAATAAATTTATATGTCAAAAATATATTTATATATTAATTTTAAAAATAATAAAGCATTAAATTTTTCCTTGATTTGTAATTATGAAAATAGTTACAAGCCAACAAGTAATTAAACTCAAAATCCTAATTCTCAAACCTGTTATGCTATTCCTATTGAAACTAAATTATTTCTGACATATTCACTAGCAAGCTAAGACACAAGGTATTGTAGCGATTATGAGTAACAAACTACAATGTATTGAATATGATTCCTTTCGTATGATTAGATTTATCTTTTTGAATATTCAATCTTCTATAGACTTTATTCGTGAGTCTCAGTCCCAGCTTGGTTAATATCTTTCCACTCGTGTGATTTATATTTTCTTTTATGCCGCTGTAGAATAGTTTATGGATCTATATTCTAGCCATCTTTTATATTTTCTTAATTCATCACCCTTTCAAATGTAAAAATGTCTAGAAAGTTTTGCTAAGTCTTATAAAAGTACGTATGTTATTGTATTCTACTCATATAAGTGACTTTTACATGACATTTTAAAAAAAATACCGAAAATTAACCGAACCGTACCGATACCGAAGAGAAACTTATCGATGTGATTGGTACGGTTTCGAAAAGTCCAATTTTGATTATACATAATAGAATAACCGAAAAATTAGTATGGTACGAATTTTATAAAATAACCGGTCGAACCGAACTATTGACACCCCTTGGCCCTAATTGTCACTGCTCCATGCTTGTTTTCTCTTAATTTTAGCTGTTATAGCGTTCGAGGTTATTACTGAAATGAAAATAGAAAAGTTGAAAGGTCCCTAGGCTAGCATTTTTTTTTTCTTTGCTAATAATTCTTTTTTCGTTTGAGGTGTAAAATTCAGTTCCTTCACAACTTTGGTTATCGAAAAAAAAACTTGCTAACTCTATATTTTATACCAAATAAATAAATACAAGATATGTGTATCACAATATACATTAATCACTAACACTAAATAAGTGATATGTATTCTACCTTTAATTTATGACTTGTAAAATTAAATTATTTGATTTTGTATAAACAATTGGTGCTCGTAAGTATATTATTTGGTTATCCATCTCGTATTTATGAAACTTTGTAGGAACATTTATTCTCAATTTTATGAATTTTAATATTTAAAGTATAATTTTGAAATCTTATATTCAAGATTTGAACTTTAACATTCAATTTTGGATCAACTACATAGGTACGAAATTCAAGACAGCTATTAGAGACTTATGTTTAAATTCAGAGTTCAGACAAGAATAAGGTATTGTTAAATGTTAACGAACAATGTTTTTTATTTGAATTTGAGACATGTATGTTATAAATGGACATAATATTTGAATATAAGGACATGTCTGTTATGAATAAATATGACTTGTTGACCTATATATAAAGCTACTTTCTTACCCAGAAACTAGAGAAATAGAAAAAGGAAATAATAATATATCTTTTCTGTACATTTCTGGAAGTATTAATTTTGATCTCTCAAAATAGTCAGAAACGTTCTAACAAATTAATACAACCATATATTATTGTCAAATATGTCAATACATGGCTGGTGGCATTTTGAGACAACCTCTATGCATACGGGTGAAATCGAGCTCATGGTGCATCCTAACCTCCGACAAAATAAGCCAAGTTCGAGACATAGCAACAAGGAACCGAAATCGAGCCAAAGTCCCACCGGACCAGAACCCGGAGGTGTAACACCTGTCTTCGAGAATATCGAGGCCATGGTCCCGGAATCGGTCCTAACCTCGAACGATTTCGAAGAACATTGTCAGACAATCCAGCATAGCTAACAGAAGGCCGAAATATCCGTGACCGGCCGAATATTACGGTGGGTATCTCGGCACGTATCGATAAGGAACCGACAATCAGTGAATCAGAAGATTTTTTATCTTTTACAGAGTTGTACCTAAAATAGGACTCCTCTAATATATAAAGGAGGTCTTATAGTTCATGAAGCACATTGTAACACGCATTCAAAAGCAATATATTATTATTTTCTCTATCTTTAGCTCTTGTTCTTTTTCAACAGTTTACTGGTTGTGGCAAGTCCGGCTCGAGAGTGGCTATTTCACTAAGGATGAAACTATTCAACTCGTGTGGTTTGAATTTATTTTATCTTTATTTATTCTATAGTAACTTAATTTATCGCTTTGTATCAAGTTAGTCCGTATATCCTTAAAACCACTTATAAATTTAATTGTTATCCGATTTTGAGGGTAAACAGTTTGGTGCCCACCGTGGGGCTAAGGATAATAGCGGCAATTTGATAAAACTCTCGTAACACACCCTATTTTACACTTGTTCTTTGAAGTGTCTTCGATTCCAGGTTAAAAATCAAAATGTCAAACCCCCAATTTGCCCCTCTAAACATGGATGCCGAGTCCAGCCACCATGACGAGAAAAACAATGTAGCACCCGGTAACGAGGTGTCCCCAGTCGATCTCGTCGGAGTTCTGGTCAAGGACCCTGTCGACGCCAGTTCATATGTGGCCATCAACACAAATTTACCTATCGATCCTGAGAACAGCGTGCGCATGGAAGTCCGATCGATTGCCCAAAATACGCACATCGATAAAACTATAGGATCAATTTGCGGGTAATCTTCGAAATGTTACAGGCTCAACAGGCAGCGATAGCCCAGTTGCAGAACCAAAGCCGAGCGCCTAGCAGGGTTGAGCTCGAGCCATCCTGGGAAGTCACCCACAGAAATGAACCGATCACGGAGAGGCATGACCCTATTTTACACTTGTTCTTTGAAGTGTCTTTGATTCTAGGTTCAAAATCGAAATTCAAACCCTAAGTCCGCCCCTCTAAATATGGACGCCGAGTCTAGCCACCATGACGAGAACAACAATGTAGCACCCGGTAACAAGGTGCCCCCAGTCGATCTTGGCGGAGCACCGGTCGTGGACCCTATCGACGCCAGTTCACATGTGGCCATCAACACAAATTTGCCTACTGATCCTGAGAACAACGTGCACATGGATGTCCGATACTGAAGGGTCTGGATTCCAAGATGTTTGTTCAAAAACCTTTTCCTCCGAGTGCAGTCCCGAAGCCGATCCCAAAGAAGTTACGCATGCCTGAGATTCCTAAGTACAACGGAACGACGGACCCAAATGAGCATGTGACTTCCTACACATGCGCCATCAAAGGGAACGACTTGGAGGATGATATGATCGAGTCTGTCCTGCTGAAAAAGTTTGGGAAAACTCTGTCCAAAGGAGCTATGATATGGTATTACAACCTACCTCCCAATTCTATTGACTCGTTTGCTATGCTTGTAGATTCCTTCGTAAAAGCACACGCTGGGGCTATCAAGGTCGAGACCAGGAAGTCAGACCTTTTCAAAGTGAAGTAGAGGGATAATGAGATTCTTTGGGAATTCGTGTTCCGGTTTCAAATGGAACAGATAGACTTGCCTCCCGTCGCGGACGATTGGGCCGTTTAAGCCTTCACCGAGGGACTCAATGCTCGAAGCTCGTTGGCTTCACAGTAGTTGAAAAATCTGGTGGAGTACCCGACTGTCACTTGGGCTGACGTGCATAATCGGTATCAATCAAAATTCATGGTCGAAGATGATCAACTCGGGGCCCCTTCCGGGTCCGTTTACCCCGCCAGATCCGTCGACAGAGTCAGGAGAGACGTTGATCGTGAAATAAGGTCAAACATGGATCGATATCAGCCATACAATGGAGACCGAAGATGTAGTGGATCTGGGCGAAACCCCATGAAAAGTGAAAGAAGGAGTGATCAGGGTTAAAGAAATCAGGGATTCATGAGCAAAAATAGTTTCGACGGGCCCATCGGGCATAAGGAGGCGCCAAGGCTATCGGAGTACAACTTTAACGTCAACGCCACAACCATCGTATCCGCCATTGGATGCATCAAAGACACCAAATAGCCTCGACCTCTACAGTCTGATCCAGCCCAAAGGGATCCTAACCTAACGTGCAAATATCATGGAGCTCACGGCCACAAAACAGAAGATTGCCGATAATTAAGAAAGGAGGTAGCCCGGCTATTCAATAATAGACACCTTTGAGAATTCCTGAGTGATCGAGCCAAGAACCAATTTAGGAACAGCGATTCTGGTAAACAGATTGAGCAGGAGGAACCTCATCATGTCATTAACATTATTATCGGTGGGGTCAACGTTCTCCAGGGGCTGATGTTGAAGCGCACCAAAGTATCTGTCACAAGGGAAAATGGATTCGGGATTATGTGTCGAAGGGAACCTTGTCCTTCAACGACGAAGACACTGAGGGGATCGTGCAACCTACAATGATGCATTGATAATATTAGTATTTATAAATAAATCTCGGGTTAAGCGTGTGTCAATTGATCCAGGTAGCTCGGCCAACATCATCAGATCGAGGGTCGTGGAACAGATCGGCCTACGAGATCAGATCGTGCTTGCGGTCCGAGTCCTAAACGGGTTCAACATGGCATGTGAGACCGCTAAAGGGGAGATAACATTACCGGTGAACACCACCGGGACCGTTCAGGAAATAAAGTTCTATGTGATCGAAGGGGACATGAGGTACAATGCTTTGTTCGGGAGACCATGGATTCACAACATGAGGGCGGTACCCTAGACTCTGCACTGGGTGTTGAAGTTCCCGACGCCGGAAGGAATAAAATTAGTTTACGGAGAACAACCGACCGCAAAAGAGATGTTCGCGGTCGACGAGGTGGTCCCGATATCCACCCTTTCGACACCGAAGGAGCTGGGTCCAATCACCAAGGGAGAAACCAAATAGCAACTGTTGGTACCCAATTTTGCCCTCATATTTTTCCAAATAGTATATATATTCTCAAAATGTCATTCTGCATCATTACTCAATTTACACGATTTATAAGATATTTTTATAAATTTGTTTTCATGATTTTTAGTGCTTTAAAATTAATTTTCTTGCATTTAAATTATCTAAATATTTATTAATTATCCCTTAATTATTTTATGATGACTTAATCATCCAAAATACTATTTTTCATCCATATATATGTTTCATAATATTTTACTACATTTCATATAATTACATTTGTATTTTTGTTTTTGAGCTATTTACATAATTTTGCAAAAAATTACCTATATTTTATAAATAATTGCATTTACTATATTAGTTATGCCAAAATAAATTTTTTATATTTTTATAATGTTGAGTTATTATTTTTAATAGTTTTACAACATAAATATTATTTTTTACCTTTTATTAAAATTTTTAGTATTTTATTTTATTAATTTTAAAGGGGTTTCAAGAGCTAGCCCAAAATAGGCTAATTTCGGACTAAATTTGGCCCAAAACCATTAGCCCAACACCCCAATAACCCTCCAGCCCAATATACCAAATGACCCTTTTAGCCCAACCCGGTCGTGACCCATCTTATAACCCACCCCATCTCCCTTTTAATCTTGGTCGTTGATTTGAGAGATCAACGACCCACAAACCATCCCTTTTTTATCCACCAAACCCCTAACCCTAAAGACCACTCTCTCATTCCGCCGCCCCCAGAACCTCTCGAACCTTCCTCCTCACAAACCCTAGCAGCCGCCTTCCTCAATCTTCTCCCAAATCCGATCAATCATGGATTCTTTCTACGATTCTCTTACCTTTTATGGATCATCTCATTGTTTCTTACAAGACTCTGATGTTACCTAGTACTTTCCTCAATTTTGGCAAGTACCAATCCCCAAATCGGGTGCCACTACCTTCAACCTTTGAGATTTAGACGTTATTTCGTCTATATGCACTCACTACCAGGCTATATGGTCCGATTCAGTGAGATTTTCGACCATCTGTGCTTTCTTTTTGAACTAGGGTTTACCGGATTTTCTCCCTAAACTGATTCTAATTGGATTTGCATGCTATATTTTCCTTATTTGTGTTTAATCTACTATCTTTCCTTGCTGGGTACTTAATTCTGATGCTATATAAACCCCTACCCAATTCCCTTTGAAATAGACTGGAATGACTGAAGAACCATTGTTATTCTCTCATACTCACACTCACTCAATACTATTCTGAATCTATTGCTCTTGGCCGGCTGAAATCCAAGGCCGTCAGAATCCTCTCTAACGACCTCCCTAGTGCGAGCACTGCTCGGGGTCCATTTGAGGCTCTTGTGAACTCTGACGCACTAGGATTTGGGTCTTTTGGTTGTTCTCTTTGCCAGTGATATTCGAGCTATTTCTGACACCTAGCCTTTCTCTCATTTTGTTTGTTGAATTTGCAACTGGTTAGCGCTCTTGACTCTAGCAATCCTATTCCCCTTTTCTGCTTATGTTCATGTTCCGTATACTAATATTTGAACTTCCGTGAGCCAACATGATTTGGATAGCGTGCTACCTTTGTTTGCAATTCTATTCATCTTAATGTTATTCTGCAATTCTAGTGTTCTTTAGCATCAAAATTTGTTTAAGTCCTAAATTTTCAGAATATGTTCACTATGTGTGGTTAACTGGTTTGATCCCTGACCTCCTTGGGTTCATTATGTTTATGTTAAACTTGATTGCTGCATTTGTTGCCTATTATGAGTTGATCTTCATGCCCTTCTTTGGATTTTTTTTGTACTAAAACCTCTTAGGGAAATTGATGTTTAAATAATTCATGTATAACTTGCTACTTGCTAATCTGCTTTGAGTTAATTCATGACCATGCCAACCTTAAACTCTCATGCTTAATTCCATTGCTATAAGAACTCTTGTTTGACAGAGTTTTG